TAACAATACCCATATACATATTAACCCCAGCTGGCCGCCAAGTAGATCGGAGGAGCGCCAATTCAATCCGAGGCTGACCAAGCCCGTGGAGGAGAGATGCGTTTTGTGGGGCTTAATGTGAAGTTCTTAAGGCTTCTACGGGGTGTTTTAACCGGGGGGTGTAGCCCCAACCCTACAAAATAGCAGGCCCCGTACTCGCAGGATCTAATCATGTAATCTTCAAGATTGTAGGCGATGGCTCGTCGCTTAAGGCTTAGGGACTCTGTGTGTAAGGCTTATACTTATATGGTAGTAGGCTTGGGAGATATGGTTGGTGTGGGGTTCAGGAGGGCTTACTTCACCTGCGGTTTTCTAGTGATAGGCGACTTGAAAGCGGCTATTAATTGATATTGCCGTTGCAAGCCTTTGTCCCAGGCCCGAGGCAGCACGCCCCTAAAAGAACAATCAGCCCACCTCAATGTCAATGCCATAGTTTCAACTTCCGGTTTGGGACTCAGGCTACCCCCAACGGTCCTTACGCATTATGGGCAGTTTGCCACCGCGCCAGGAGTTCGAGGAGCTCATGGCCAACCTAGGCAGAGCTGTCGCTTTGAGCCTTCAAGATGTAGGGTGCTGATTTATCCAGGGTGTAGGCTAAAGGCTCAGTAAGGGCAGCAGCAGAGTCCCTTGTGAAAAAAAAGTTTTAAGAGACATAGGTCAGTCACACAATAACCCAGCCTGGCAAAAAAAAGACATTTCAGCAGCTTAAAACTGAACGATACTCAGCTGGGGGGGTTATGGCAAAAGGTATCGGTGACTATGTGTGATGTAGGATTCCGTGAAATTATGCAGTGCTCAGCACAGTCTGGATTCAAAAAGGGCTTAAAACGAAAGCACACAGCTTGAAACCCTCAACCCTGAAGGTAAAAACCTCAAACCCCAAACCCTGCACTACACCGTAAATCTACGGCACCGAATGAATCCTCGCACCACCGAAATCGCGTCCTATGACGACAAAAGGGCTTGATCCGGAAGTCCAAAGATTGAGAGCCCAAAGATGGACCACTGAGTGCCACTCCCTGAACTCCAGATCCTAAAGCTTAAAATGATTCTGCATCGAAGTGTCATGAACTCATCGTGCTCTTTCTCCCTCTCCCTACAAACGCGGGGGAATATACCTGAACCAGGCGAATACCCACAAAACCTCAATCTAGTAGCGCCGGGGCCTACCCTGTCTTAGTCTTAGTTTGCAGAAGGCTTGCCCAACCCGAAGAAGATCGATGTGGCTGTGCCGGCAAACATGGTGTGTGGCGTGCAGGCAGCCAGGGCCAGGGTCTTTCAGTTCAACCTAGACCCCTTAACAACCCTTAATGGGCCCTAAATACCCACAATTAAGGACCATCAGGGCTCTATTAAAGGGCCCTCGAAAGGTCTGGAACTTACGGAGTCGGAGGCAAGCTTTTGGGATAGGTTCAGGCAGTTTAGGGTTTAGCAACAGCCGGTGGGAGGGAGGGAGGGAGGGATGGAGGGAGGGTTTGAGATCACTGTGGCGACACACCAGAGTCAAGGCAGAGAGGGCTTTCGAGTTTGGGGGCATTCTGGATGTGTGCAAAAAGTCGGGCCCTTTTGTTAATACAGGGGGCTCAACAGATAGGATAGGGTTTTGGAGTATATTATATTATAGTATAACTATACCAAGGAACCCCCAAGAGTAGTATAGGTAATTATTTATTATTTAGGCCCGTGTATTATGCGCCTTGCTTCTTTGGCTTCAGACCATTCCCTGGTGAAGGATGAGCCTGAGCCAGCAGTGGCTGAGACGGGCCCGGCAGCGTTTTGATTTCCCTCTCATTGTTGTCTATCCTAAGTGACGCAGACGAACAATGAAGGAAGGTAGCAACCCCAAGTTTAACAGAGCTGAAGGCTGATCCCGTGTGCTTTTGTTCCTGAGTTTATGTGTCTGACATGGTTGCAAAAAGAGGGTTGAACCTTTCGAGATTTGAAAGTAGTAGGCTTCTGTCCAACGACAGAAAGCTCTACTGGTTGTCATGGTCCGATATGCTTTCATTTTGTCAGAGAGTGCGCCTTTGTTCTCAGCAGCAACAGGCCACAGTTCCATCTGCTTGCGTGCGATTGCAGGATTTCCGTGATGGGACTCCATGAAGTTAGACTCATCTTCGAAGAGTCTACAGCTACCTTCAGATTCACCAGCCAGAACCTGCGTTGTTGGAGGGTGGCAATATTGAAATATGTTAGGGATTCACGGGGACCATACACAAATTAGGTCATGGTAATAAGGCCAACCTAAGTCTAATCTTCTGCAACCGTGGTTCCTGCAATCTGCGCGAGCGCTCCCAAGGGGGGTCGTCCAAAAAACCGTCGATGCCCGCAGTTCCCCAAAACCCTAGACCCCCAAACCCTATACTCCTGCACCCTAAACCCATAAACCCAAGGTTTAGGGTGTTAGGGCTTCTAGGCTTTAGAGGTCTAGGGTTTCAGGTTAAAGGACTGATAGGCTTTAGGGCTTGCGGAGCTTAAATCCAAACCCGAAACCCTAAGCCCGTTTAATACCGTCAAGCTTCACGCATTTCTTTACGGACTCTACTGGTCTTGGGATTAGCCTCCCTTGTCTAATTCCTGTTCAATGCGTAAGTTCTGTATTCAAGGGTATGCATTATGGCGACCCCCCCAAACATCCTGGGATTCCACAAGAGGTCTTCAGCAGAAGCTTGGGCCGCTTCTCAGCTTGTCCCAGGGGCCCCGCCGCAAGTCCCACGCTGTACCCATGTCATGTGGCATGTTGCAGGCTTTTGCTTGATAACGCTCGAATAACGATAAGTTCCCGTTCAATACCTTCGTGCTCCACCCCGGCTTGAGACTAAAAAGTCCAGAACTCCGATTTCTCCCCAACGGTTCCTGTATCCACGGCCGGGGCGCACAGTTACTCCGAGTTCCAGAGTTTAAGGTTTGGTCAAGTTGTTTCCGTCTGTTGCTTTGTTTAGTCTAACAAAAGTCTAGCCTTCTTAAACCTCCACTGTCGCATAAATTTCTCAAAGCTAAACCTTGAATTGCCTCATATGCTTTCCCAGCTCCTGGCAGAGACTTGCAATGCGTCCCTGCGGCAAGAAAAGTGCCGGCGTCCTCGATATAGGAGTTGGATCAGAGAGGAATATTATTCCTGTGGGTTTCTTGATGCAAGTATACCATAAAATTTGGTGTTTTTTTGGTAGTTTTTTTTGGTTTTCGGTTCAGTGGGCACGTGAGTCCAGAAGTCGGTCAGTCGGTCAGTCAGTCAGTCAGTCAGTCATTCGGTTGTGTAAAGAAGAGCGTCCAGTCAGTCAGTCGGTCAGCCAACCGAGCGGTCAGTCAGTCAGTCAGCCGGTCGGTGAGACAACGGGGCTGTCCAGTCAGTCAGTCAGTCACATTCGGTCGTCCAAACAAGAGCGGTCAGTCAGTCAGTCGGTCAGCCAACCGAGCGGTCTGTCAATACCTAAACCCCACAAGTAGGTAACATAATGGCCCAAAACCCAGAAAGGGCTATTATTCTACATGCTTTTGATGTCCAGGTGGGGAGTCAAGGGTTCAGTTGCGCTTTTGTTTTTGGCTCTACGATTCAGGGCTGCAGTTGTGCTCAACCTTAGGGGTCTGGGGATTCGGATGTAGAGCTTAAACCCTAAATCCTACACGGTTCCCGGGATGGCAAGGGAGGCCTCGAAGATATTGATGTTGTAGGGCTATTGGGCTTCGGGGCTTATATGTTAGAGTCGGGGCTTCAGGAAACAAACTGCGCTCAAGCCTCCAAGCCCACCCTTACACCTCCGCTCAAGCCTCCAAGCCCACCCTTACACCTCAACTCCCCTAAACCGTACTTTTCTCTAGGTGCCTCATGGAAAAGCCTAAGCATATTGCATGCGAAAACGTAGGTTGTGGTCGGTTTAGGTACTGGGCAAACCCCACCTGATCCCTGCACCTTTGTTACCGAGGTTCGGCCAGGTAACACGCCGAAGCAGCCCTTTTGGGTCATCCACGCGGCTGCACTGAACATCGGTGAGAACGAGTTCGCCACGGCCCGTCGTTTTGAGAGTTTAGGATGAGGTGCAGGTTCGGCGGCCTGTTTCCATCCTCGATCCAACACCCCAAACCCTGAACTCCATACCGAAGCCGGTGCGGAAATCTCAGCATTTACGTTTGTGGGTTATAGGCGAGTTTATATCGTAGGGTGTATGTTAAAGACGATGGTTCTCTTCAGTGCGGGCTTCAGTTTCTTGGAAGGGTTAAGTTCCGTACGATGTCGTGTTCGGTGACGACCTAACCAGTACGGTACCAAGGTTCCCATGTAGTAACTCAAGAGCCAACTATATACTACTTAAGCAAATATAAACCCTTAAGACGTAAAGTTCAAGCTACAAAATACACTGTGCTTAGTCGGCTGTTTGGCTTGTTATTGGCACTGCTATGCTCAGGCAGCCACAGCCTTGAGCATTCTTGCCGTTAGGAAGCCTCCCATAGCGAATATCTAGACTTTGATTGCGGCTGGGACCTCAGCACTTAGATCGCTGCTTCCTCGCAGTTCACCTAGTGCACGTGCACTTGCACATTGCACTTAGACTTGCACCTGCGACCCCAGACTCGGCATCTGTAACCCATGCTTCAACTGTAGTGACACTGTAGTGCTCTTCTTCACTGACACGTTTTGTGTTTTGGAGTTGCTAGAGGACAAAAAGCAAGGGAACCCCAATTGAGGGTCCTGCGAATGAAGCTAGTGCTGGTCGTCAAACTAAGTGCCACCTGGCCGGGTGACATGAAAACAATCTGCGTGTGAATGTCATACCCGTGCTTGCGGGCGATTGGAGAGAGCGTAGTCCTAGCCTCGGGCATGCTAAGGTGAACCTTAGTGATGCGAGAAGCCCATACCCTGCTGAATCTTTAGGTCTTAGACCCAAAGGCTGTAAATCCTGCAGGACTTCTACGACTATTCCAACGAGAATTCTAAGCTGGACTTCGTCGCCTATGTCGAAGACATGGGGCGAATCTACGATCTTTGGCAGATGACTTCGAAGCATGTGCCCCCAAATCTACGAATAGCCTAGAACTCAAACTAGGGTTTGCGGTAAGTTGGCTTGAACAGGAGCTCATTCTGGCAATCCGTGCCCCGAAGCTACTGAATACAACATCTACTACACCCAATCCAAACATGGCATAGATCTGGTCTCAAGCTGACTGAGCAAACATGCTGACCTCGTTAAGCTGTACTCGCTCTGAACCTTAGTCATGATCCCAATCCGCAACCACCTAGTTACTACACGCAGCCCTGAACCTGAGCTTCTGAAGCTTTCTTCAAAGGTGAGAACAAGGGTTTAGGGTATAGGGTACTGCAGATGTGCAGAGAGCTCTTCAGCAACCATGCTTCGAAAGCCCTCCTACGCCCCAGCCTTTGCAACAAGAAAAGCACCTGCAATCCGGAGCACCCAGAGCCCCTGAACCCCCAACCCTAAACCCTAAAACCCCTAAGCCCTAAACCCCAAACCCTAAATCCCCAACCCTATAGACACTAAATCCCAAGCCCTAAACTCCCTAAACCCTAAACCCGAGCGCCAAGGACAACATCTTGCAAGCGGGTGCGGCTTTGGGGGCCGCTAGGCAGAAGACCTTTTCTTACCATTGGCTTTGCAGGTTGGTGGTTTAGGGGATTAGGGTTTAGGGTTTGGCGATTTCCAAATTTTAGGCGTTGCTTTTTTAAGGGTTTGGGACTCGAGGGTGCAGGTTGGGAGTTTGTCTTGTTGGTGGCTCCAACCCCATCAGACGAGTGTACTTAGAAGCCATCCATGATGTTGGAGTGGGGGCCGGGTGCAGCAGATCCTGGTTCACAAACACCTCGCGATCGAACATGTTTTTCTAAGTATTACGGCCCGGGTTTGAGGTAAGTTTTTCTTTTGTTAGACCCGAATCGCGAGACTGCTAGCTTCGGACCCATATGCTCCCCTTCAAACTGACACCTAGACCCTGAAACTGAAAACCTGAGTTCTAAGCAGCCGAAACTGAAGGTTTCTGACCTGATCTTCTTTCCTTTCGGTATGGGCGCTTTCCTCCGTAACTTGCACAAGCTCGATGGCAGGTATTGCCAGGCACCTTGCCGGGGTTTATCAGATTAGGGCGTTCAGAGGCCCTAGACTAGGGTTTCGCGTGCTTCAGTGACTTAGTAGAAGTAGCGTTCGTAAGATGGGCTTGCAGGGGTTACTACAAGCGCGTCGCAGTGACTTGGTAGAAGTAGCCTTAGCAAGATGGGCTTGCAGGTATTACAAGGGCGCCCTGCGGAAATAGGGTCCGGGGAGCTCTTGTCAATAGGCTACCTATAGTCTCCATTCTAGTTCCTTTTTGGGGATACCGTATAAAATCCTTAACATATATTTGGTTCAACCAAAAAAAGGAACTACAATGGAGACTAGAGGTATATATCTCCTAACATGCATGGCGGAAGTCAGCTGCGTCACCGAGCTTTCCTTTATGATCAGTGCCAAGTGAGAACACCATAACAACCTCACAGAGCTCTGGATTCTTGAAGCCTTGGAAATCCTGAAAGGCTCTGCTTTCTGCTTAACAGATCCATCCTAAGCCAGAAGTTGGGGTTTAGGGCTGGCCATGAGGTGGACAGGACAGTGCTTTGAAACACAAGGCACCCATGATTATATGGAAAAAACAAGGGTTTAGTATGGGCCTTGTACTTCCCTTTTTGGACTGCCACGGTTTAGGGTTGAGGGTTTAGGGTTTAGGGTTTAGAGCCTTCAGCTTCGGCACAACATCCTACCCGCCAATTCCTAAGCTCCCAATGGCAGGACGATGTGGGCCTTGCGAACTTGCGGCACGCCCTGGCAAAGCGGTTCGTAAAGGCCCTCGTGGTGGCGCCGCCAGGTCCAAAAAACAATGCTTTTTGAAGGGTGCTAAATTATAAAAAAGACATCGTAAACCTGAAGTTAATAACCCTCCGCGCCTCGATGAAATGAGGATAACCATGGGTCCCTATGTTCGGGTCTGCACGGTAGTCGCTAGAGGTGGTGGGATTGGGGTCTTGAGAGTTTTACGGCCATGCAGCTTTATGCCATAAGTGCTTAATAAAGATTTGCATTCTTCACTTAGAAGGACGCATATTCCGCTGCGAACTTGTTGACTTTGACTAAAACGGGAAAGTATCTCACGGGTCACGTTGCGGGCGGATTCATAGTCCTGCAGAGGACCAGGGCAATTGAAGTGAAGAGGACGGTGGTTTAGGGTTCAATTCAAAACCGTTCAACCTCCTCGAAGCTGCAGGGCTTGAAGGGTGTGCCTGGTATGGTTCAAGTTTGTGTTTTACAAGTTCTTTCTGGTGTAAGATTTAAGGCTTGTGCTGGTAACTTCATCGCAGCACGAGGGCATGACAGGGTGTGTGCAGTCAACCTTTCGGGCGTTTCGGTTTGGTGTTCTGGCGTCGTATGCACGGCTGGAAGACAAACAGAGGAATTGATCCCTTGTTTCGTTCCTTTTCGCTTTCATCCCCTTCTCTTTCACGTGACCCGCTCGTTGCAAGGCCATTGGCTAGCGGCTGGTTGTCAACCGTCTCCATTCATGTTGTGCAACCCGAGCGTGCAGAGATGGTGTCATTGCTGTTTAATGGTATTAAGTTGCGTTATGTTATATCGAGTATCACATCACACTGTATGACGATCTGTTGTGTCCTGCTGAGTGCTGCTTGTCGAGGAAAGTGCCGTTTGCGACTTGGAACGCAACAGTGATCAGCCGTAGCCGGCTTTAGCTGTGCCCAGAGATCCCAGCACTCTTTGACCAAAGCCTTGAAGATCTACAGAAATTGTATATTCAATCGGGGTATCGGGCTGTCTAAGCATCAGGACTTTGGATTCCGGCAGCATCAGGGAGTTTCTTAGATTTTGGAGCACCTGGTGCTGGTGTCCTTGTACTGAGGATTCTAGTAGCTATACGGTGTACGGTTTACGTATTGGGGCTGACTCATGGACTTACTAAACCCTACATCCTACACCCCTAAAGTCCAGGTAGGCTCGCACTCCATTTCGGATGCCGCATCGTGGAGCGAGACCTCTGCGGGTCCGCTCACCTGGTTTGCCATATCCTCGATGAAGAGCGCTGAAGCTGCAACCCTAAACTAAATTAGAGTTCAGGGGGTCACGAAAGCCGATAAGCCGTACCCCTAAACCCTAATCCTGAGCGAGAGACCAGGTTGTGCGGCTTTGCATCGCGCCGAGTGGCAAAGGCGCCCCGTGGGCTCTTTGTATCCTCTTCGGGGGTGGAAACCTTTGGGGTTACTTAAAGGGTTTAGGGTTTAGGGTTTGATAACCCTAAATCCTAAACTACCCATAGGCCCCATAGTAGTTCCTTTTTGGGATTACCTTATCGGATTCTAAATATGAACCCCCAAAAAGGAACTACTATGGGGCCTACGGGTACTTAAAGGGTTCGTTTATTCAGGTTTACTATAAGAGTTTCTGGGGTTTGGGGATTGTAGACTTGGTGTTTTAGGGTCTGGGGTTGAGAGATTTGGCACTTGGGGTAATTATACCATGATTTGGGTTTTGAGATTTGTGCTTTCGGCCTTGGGTTTCTGGGTTTGGGTTCGGGGGTTTTGTATTGTGGGTTTCGCGGAGTGGTCCGCCAGTGGTCCGGGTCGCGAAGCCTCCGTAGCGAGACTTGATTCCTAAACACCGAGCCCAAACCTGAACCAGCCTCCCAAAAGGGAACTACTATGGGGCCTATGGGTATACCCAGAAACCCGAAAAAAGCCAGGCACCCTAAACCTTTGCCCGTGCAATCCAGGGGACGAACTCGATGCGAATGCTGTGGCTTTTCTTCAAGCCATTCTGGAAGGTGGGCTATATGTGGTTTTTGGGGCTTAGAGTTCAGGCTTTTCGGGTTTAAGTAGGGTTTAGGGTTTAGGGTTTAGGTCGGGTGTAAAAGGTCCTGAAGGATGATCACCGACTTTAGGGTCTTCAGGATTTCAACATGGGGGCTTTAAATACGGCATGAATAATCTCCCCCCAGTGGCAAGTGGTTTCACTGGAACCTGTTCCAACTGTTAAGACCTCAAGATTCAACGCACTAAACCCTAAACCTTATAAACCCTAAACCCTATAAACCCTAAACCCGGAACCGCTTTTTGAGTTCCCAACCAAGTCACACATGGAAGGGCCGTGCTTTTGGAGTAGCCCTTCCCATCTAATTAGGCGTGAGGGGCTTCATCGGGAAATTGTGCACGCATCGGTGTTTTTTCTTGGGCTCCTGCTGTAAGTCTACATCCCCAAACTGGTGCAATTCCCAAGCGCGATGGCGACTAAAGCTTTGTCCGTATCCGGCATGCTTGGTTGGAGCCCTGTCGCACTGTGAGCTTCGCCCGAAGATCGTGTGACCGGCTTGCCCAAGGAATGCCGCCGTGAAGGGGAGAGATGACCAAAACCTATGTAAGTTGGAATACGTTTCTCCACTTACCACGTTGCCTTGTCAGGCTTACATCCTACACCGCCGTACGTTGCCGTCAACCGTGTAAACCTGTAAACTTGCACATGAAGGATCGCCGTTGGCTCTTGCATTTGGCGTCTTGACTCTGGTGTGCTGTAACTTTCAGGCTTGGCGCTAATGGCGGCGTTGATCTTACATACACATTTGATGCTTACAAGCTACCAGATACTCACCCTAACCCCCAGGTACCTACTACAAAGGGTACTAGAGCCCCTGAGGCCCTATATAGTAGGGACCTGGAGGGTTAGGGTCAAAGCTTCAATAAGACGAGCAGGAAAATTTTTCAGTGGCCCAAACCGAGAGTACCGACGAAGATCCAAAGGGCCCATGGCATCTCGCTTCGCTGGCAGGCTCCGAGCTCGTACTAAAGGAGTTCCTAGTATCCTTACTGTGCCCCGAGGCTCCAGCAGCCCAAGGAAGGTACAGGGTACTTAAGTTGCGGTCTGAAGTTCACAATAATCAAAATGACTAGTAGTACCGCTTGATTCTAGACATGAGACCTCAAAGTAGGTACTAGTCGTATACCAGGAAGCTTCGGGTTAGGCCAGCCTGCAGCCAAAACCCCACAAAATCTCGCCATGGTACGGCACGTGAAACCTTAGGAAACCCGGCGCAAGGAGACAATAGCAGCCTCCAGGCTACTGGTGTACCTACATAGCTGCAGTACAAAATACCTGCAAACCTTGTTTTGCTTACACAGACAGATACCATGCCCCCTTTCATTCGACCATGCAAGACCCGCTAAAGCCCCACAAGGCCCCAAAACCCTACTTATTATCGAAGACCCTAAATCAAAACCCATGTTGTCCGAGTTGTGAGCGCTGAGCCCCATTGAGACAACAAAACCCCTGGACCCTAAACCCTAAACCATTGAAGCTGACTCCGCAGGCATCCACAAGGGCGTCGGCGATAAATCAATGCGCCTGAAGCCGTCTTCTGTGGAGTGCTCCGGTCCTACTATGGTCGTTTTTTGGATTTAGGCTTTAGCTTCTGTTAGGGGTTGGGTTTTTGGATTAAGGGTTTAGGTTTTGGTATGGCTTGGGTTTTTTGGATTTAAGGTTTAGGTTCTATCATGGTTTGGGGTTGGATTTGGGGTTTAGGGTCTGTGGATCTTAGGGGCGTTCGGGGTTGAAGAACCTGGTTGAGGGGTATAGGACGTCAGGCTTGCGACAGAGTCGTTTATAGGAGCTTGCAATAAGGTTGGACAGGCCATGATTGGGATTGCTTGGGTTTTGGCGTGGTTCTTTGTAGGCTTTCTTGTGGAGTTCATTAAGGGGCTCGTTTAAAGCAGGGTGTTAGGATTTGTCTCCAAGCTCCAGCATTCTTCTAAACTCCTGACAACCCTTTCAAGGCTGTCTGCAGAAAAGCAAGCCTGCTACATCAGTTGAAACCATTAAACGCTTATACTAGACCCTACAAGAATCCTCCCGAAACCCGAAACCCGAAACCCTTACCCTAAACCCTAAACCGTTCAAGTGGACCCGATAAGAATCCCCCAAGGATCCTGGTGAATGCGGATGCTCTGACAGTTGCCCAGCAGTATGCCAACGACCGGCGGACGGTGGGGTGCCCTGTCTGAAGTTAAGGGCTTGAGGGGTTTAGTGTTTTAGGGTTTGCGGTGTAGGGTTTAGGGTTTATAGGGCTTAAAGGGTTTAGGGTATAGGGTTTAGGGTTTGCGGTGTAGTATTTAGGGGTTCAGCGTCCAGGGTGTCGACCTCGAGTATAAGGCCTAAGATAGGACGGGTAGATATGCTTGGGGTTTCGATGCCCAACCTCAGCCCCAACCTCATAGAGACTGTGATAGCAGGGCTTCCCCCTACCCTGCCCCTCAACCCCTCAACCCTAAACCCTAAACTCTCAACCCTAAACCCTAAACCCCTAAACCCTAAACTCTACACCCCTAAACCCTAAACCCTGAACTCTATCTACACCCCAAGAGACCCGTCGCAGGCTGGTCAATGGCGCAAACCGTCGCCTCATCGGAAACCATTGGTCCGGTGCTTAAGGTTTAGGGTCTACCTATAGTCTCCATGGTAGTTCCTTTTTGGGGATGCCTTATAAAATCCTGAATATATAATTGGTTAAACCCAAAAAAGGAAATAGAATGGAGACTACAGGCAGGGGCCATTCCCTCGTTAAACGAGAAGGCCCTGCTGTTGAGGTGTGTTCGCTGGCACACAATACAAGCCCATGCTGAAAAGGGCCTCAGTCATGGAAACCAGCATTCAGCCTTGTTTTTGTTGGTTGAGGCTTTGGGCTCAGGAGTGAGGAAAGGAAGGAAACCGCGACTTAGCCTCACCACCCCGGCGAGGACGAGTGCTTTTGCTGTTTCATGCTGCTTCTGCAACGGTACTTTCCTACGACCATTGCTACTGCTGCTAGTGCAGCAACAACAGCAACAACAACAACAGCAACAACAACGACTAACCGCTGCTGCTGCTGCTGCTGCTGCTGCTGCTGCTGCTGCTGCTGCTATTGCCACTCCTACTTGTACTATTCCTGTTACTACACATCTTCCACACGCCGAGAGGCAAAGGCATGCCGCACTGAAGCTTTTATTGCGAGCATTTGTTAGACAATTCGATGTCGGTGGCGTATCGCTGGCTAGATGGTGTCCCTTAATTAATTAATGAATAAACAATTAATTCATCGCAGTAGATATGGTCTTCTTATGTAACTACTAGATATTGACTCATTCTCTTGGAGTTTCTGGCTTCCTGCCCCAAAATGCAGAGCTTGCAAGGTTCTCCCATGGTGCCCGCATGGCTATTGCCCGGAGCTGAGGGCCTAAGGTATTTGCGGGTGTCCATCTTGCAACAGGGACCCACACTTGGCAGAACCCCCTGTATGCATCTATATGCACATATTGATACATTCATACATACATACATGCATACATGCATTCATACATTCATACATTCATACTTTCATTCATACTTACTTTACTTACTTACTTACTTACTTACTTACTTACTTACTAACTTACTTAACTTACTTAACTTAATTAACTTACTTAACTTACTTAACTTACTTAACTTACTTAACTTACTTAACTTACTTAACTTACTTAACTTACTTAACTTACTTAACTTACTTACTTACTTACTTACTTACTTACTTACTCACTTACTCACTTACTTACTCACTTACTTACTCACTTACTCACTTACTTACTCACTTACTTACTCACTTACTCACTTACTTACTTACTTACTTACTTACTTACTTACTTACTCACTTACTTACTTACTTACTTACTTACTTACTTACTTACTTACTTACTTACTTACTTACTTACTTACTTCACTTACATACATACATACATACATACGTACATATGATTACATATGTATGTAGTTAGCTGATGAGCTGGTAGACGACCATAACATCTATATAATACCCTCGTTCTGTAGTTTCTACAAGAACTCTCGAACAAAAAACCTATGAGACCGTCATAAATCGAGCGCAATTTGTTTAAGAGCCGTATGCTGCTCTATAGCAGCATCATAACCCGAACCCTCAAAGTAAGTAGGGTCTTTGATGTCAGTGCCTAGAATAGGGCCTCCAGGGTTTGATTCGCTATTAGGCCTTCGGATTAGCGGACTGCGGCTTGAGGTGAGAAGGTTGTGCGTGCTACTTTCTGTGTCAATGCAGGTCTGAAGTGTTTGAATGTGTAGGGTTGAAGGGCTGAAGGGTTTACGAATCAGCGTTCAAGAGTTTTAGTGCTCAGAGGTCGGAGTTTAGGGCTTTCAGGGCTCAGGGTACAATTGTTGTCTTAAGCCCTTAAGTCTTGAGTTCAGAGTTTACTGCGTTGAGGACGAGAATCTCCACAGACGCAGCTGGCGCATGGCGGCTACTCGGCGCCTGTCGGAAGAGCAGTAGTAGAAAAAGTTGGAACAAAGGTGGTTGTTCTCGGAGTCAGGTATTCGGGCTTTCCGTGTTTGTGGGTTTGCGTGTTCTGACTTCGGATTCTTGTGACCAGGGATTGGGGCCGGAGGGCTTTACGATCTGCGGCTCCCGGATGCTCCCGTCTTCAACTTCAGAGAGTTGCAGACGGGATCCCATAAGTATGAAATGGACACTACCACAGCACTACAATGGTGGTCTTGAGGGCCTGAACCTCAATCTAAGCCTAAGAGACTGCCATTCTCAAATTGAACCACCAGAAACCTTAAACCGCCCCAAACCCCAAACTTACACGGCCGGCGTGTGCTCAGGCCACGGCCTACCTTCTGAACGGCGGAGCGGAGGCTACCGGAATAGGTCGTGTTTTCAGGGCTTCGGGCACTAAGGGTCAAGGGCGGCTCAGAGTCTATGGGGCATTTAACTTGAATGTTCAGGCCCCGCAGAGTTGTTTTTTTCAAGGGGACGTTTCGTTTAGAGACCTTACGAGTTCGGCATGCCTGACGGCTCTGCTCAGCTGCCTGGTTTTAGGTTTTGAGGGGTTTAGGGTTTACGATTCCGTTGATAGTACAGCATGCCCCGAACTCTGGAGTGGGTCCTGGAAGTAAGCATTCTAAGTTAATCCTGCTTATCCCAAGGGCCAACACCTCCAGGCCTGTCCTAAAGCCCTAACGCCCCCACCTAGACCCCCCAACTACCCTCTAATGTACCCTAAATGCCCACAATTAAGGACATTAAGGACCATAAGCGCTCTATTAAAGGGCCCTTGGGGGGTTCCTGGTAAACCCTAATTAAACCCCAAAATCATGAATGAACCATAGATCGCCCGAAGCCTGCAGCTCCCACACGCGAGGTGTCGAGGCGTCATCCCAACACCCTGGCAGAAGCGGTAAAGAGGTGCCTTCTGCAACAGTTATGGAAGCGCCTGAGGCGCTTAGGGTTTAGGGTTCATAGTGTTTAAGTTTCAGTTTTTATTCAAAAAGTGTCGGTAAGCTTTGGGCGCTTTAAGGTTCAGCTTTCCCGGCGTACGGATTTGGTTGGCCTTATCTAGAGCCTAGCCTTGACTGTAGCAACTATATACTGGTTTTCTCATATGGTTTAGTGGGTTTGTAAACCCTAAACCCATATCATACCAGTATATGGTTGTTACAGTCATAGGGTTTAGGGTATGCGCTTGGAAAATGGAGCACTTTTCAAAGTGTACTCGGGGTGTGATTGTCATTACCCTGGTTGTTGCCTGTATTGCGAACATGTGCTGTTGTTGGTTGGGTGGTGTCGCATTTGTGTAGCTTTTGTTTGAAAATTCCAGGGGTCAGGTTTAAGGGTTTCTGGGTGTCGGGCCGCCTCAGCCTAGAAGCAAAGCTCTGCGAGTTTTCGGCTTCATCAGAACTCTCCCGAAGGACTGCTTTCATCATGGAAACAAACATATCATGTGCTTGTTTCATCTTCGGGCGACGGGCAACAGAGCTTGGTTCACATATTCTCAGACTAAACCAAGCCTTTAACTTGTGCTTGGGTTGTTCTACCGCAGGTCCGTCCATACCTCGATAGACGTGAGTCGCCCGGTGCAAGACACCTCTCCCGCAACATCCCTCAACCTTTATAAGCCCTAAACCCCTAAACCTTTAAACCCCTAAACCCGCAACCCTGAACAAGTAAGTCCCAACCAGGCTCGGGGGAACTGTGCAAGAACTTGCAGCAAGAAGCGGCTCCCGTGCGGCAACCGGAAAAAAAGGTTTTTTTGTTGGGTTTAGTGCTGTTAAAGTTTGGGGTTTGGGGTACAGTTGGAGCTGAGAGGGCTCGAGGACGCCCAAGCTTCAGCGTTGTCTTCGCGGTTTGACGTTCGCGGTCGCTGTTCCATCCTGAATGTATCGTACTGATCAGGCAAGAGTAAACTCCCAAAAGAGCCTAGTCCAATTGTTACCTATAGTCTCCATTGTAGTTCCTTTTTTTGGTCTAACCAATTATATATTAATGATTCTATAAGGCATCCCCAAAAAGTAATTACAATGGAGACTATAGGTAAGCCCCTAACTCGCTCGAAAACCACCAGGCCGCGCTTTGGTAGGGCCGCTGTTTCAGGACTGGGAGTGGTCGCAGGCTTCCAAGCAGTAGCAAGGAAACGAGGCCCACGGTTTAGGGTTTAGGGTTTAGGGATTTGGGTAGTTCTCTAAATCAGGGCCCCTTTTGGGTGCCCAATATAGTACCGGCACCCTTATAAAAAGGACCGCAAAAGCGACCCTAATTTGGAGAACTACCCATGTGGCTATCGGGAATACAAGGGTAGATGCGAAGTTCCTTGCACCAGCCAGCCTCTACAGCATGACGATAGCACTGAGCCGTTGCGAGGTCCTTAGTTTCAAGTTTCAAGAAGACAAGGATCCCTCAGACCCCAAAGCTCATAGCACTGAGCCGTTGCGAGGTCCTTAGTTTCAAGTTTCAAGGAGACAACGATCCCTCAGACCCCGAAGCTCCCCCGAGCCGGGTGTTCCTTAGGAATTCATGCCAGGCCTTCGCCTAGTTTGAACCTAAAGGGGTCAGTAGACATATGATGTTGTTTCAGGGATCTAAGTGGCTTGCACTAAACTCCAGACCTAAACTTCTACATCGCTAGGCTTAGGCCTAAACCCCGAGTCCCGAAACTTCAGAAACTAGCCTCTCACCCTGCTGCAAGTAAACCTTCAAATCAGAACTCTTACAGTACCTTTGTAGGAATGCTTGCAGTCTAGAACCCTTCTTAAACGCCGACACAGCGACTCTTGTAGTAGCCCTAAGCGCCTTGAAGCATTACACTGAGTTGTGGAGTAATCCTTAACATCTTGAGGCAGCGATGTGAAGGCCAAGATCATAAAGCTCTTCCGCCAATACGACGAGTCTGGCGATGGGCGAATCTCCAAGGTCCCTGGGTTGAGTCCGGATACGGCGCTGCTTAAATTTAGCTGATGTGTCCACAAACACATACATACGTATACATATATATATATATACACATACGTACACATGTACATGCAACAAAATATGTGCATATATCTATATATACAATACACATATAAACTTTTATATGTATGTATGTATGTATGTATGTATGTATGTATGTATGTATGTATGTATGTATGTGTGTGTGTATGTATGTATGTACATACATACATACATACATACATACATACATACATACATACATACATGATTAGATAGACAGGTAGATAGGTAGGTAGCTAGATAGGTAGATTTAGACATAGATGTAGATATAGGTATACATAAATAAATAAATATAAATATGAATATATATATATATATATATAGAAGTAGAATCGTATAGATGAAGACATAGTCACGGACAGGCAGACTGACAGACACACAATTTTTTAAGTCTTTCAGACAGTCATTTCCATGCTGCAGAACTGGGTTCTGCGTTGTATTCTCTGTGGACTGTTTGGGGCTACTGTTCCCAGACCGTTGGCACGGGCAGGTGGGGGGTGCTGGCGTGCGTACGAATTGGGCCCTGCGTCCACCTCCGCAGCCCGTCCCTAGGTGAACTATTCGCACGCTCTTTCCCCGGTGTTGCTATGATTCTTTATGGTTTTGGGGTTTGTCAATTTAGGGTGTGGGCTCTAATCCCACCAAATCATTCAAATCTTATGGGTTGTTTCGGGTGGGCATATATCTGCTTTCAATAACCCTAAACCCCAAAGGTGCGAATGTGTGTGTGTCGAAAGCTTGACCCACTGTACAAGTTGCGAGAGTGAACCTCGTGACCCCTATCCTGTGGCTCCAGTTACCCACTGGTTTTGGACTGTGTCAAGGGTCTTATCCACTAACCGTAGCTTGTAACTTGTAGCTCTACGCAAAGGCCCCATAGTAGCTCCTTGTCGGGCTTACCTTCTAAGATTCTAAATATGAACCCCAAAAAGGAACTAGTATGGGGCCTATGGATAATTACCTCCAGACTGGGCCCGAAAACTATGTATCAGATTCCAGGCTTTTTTTCCGGTAAGGCCTGCAGGGAATCCTACAGTGGGAGTGCTCCCAAGATGATACCCCAAACCCCTAAACCCTGCCAGCCCCAATCCCGTGCGAGACGGAGAAGGGTCCTTCAAAAATGAAAACCTTAAACCCGCAACTGGAAGCTCCTAAAACCCTGCAACTCTAAACCCATAAATCCTAAACCGCAACCCTATACAGTAAAAGCCCCAAAGTTGGAAACCCAATAGCTTCAATCCTTAAGAGTAACGTAAAGGGAATCCTTTTCGGGTTTTACTATACCCTAACCCTTTAGCAGAAAAAGCATCCCGCCGAGGCAGAGTTCGTGAAGATGCTCATGCGCCTCAATCATCAGCAAGACGACAGCCGCTTGTCTCAGACTAGGGTTTATTTTAAACCCTAGACCCTGAACCCTAAACCCAGCCTAAGCCCAGCTTTTAGGGACTTAGGGTTTACACTCGGTTTAGGGGTTTAGGGTTAGGCTTCAGGGCTTAGCTGAATAGGGCTGTCCTTAGAGACTTGGATGCAAAATTGATTCGGATGCTTCGGGTTGCGGGCATACTGGTGAATCCAAGAACCAACATACTGTTAAGCTTTTTATGGTGAAGAATGTGGGCTACAGTTAGACCGTGCCATAATTGTGTCTCCACGCCTCACAGCATCTCGGAGGGGGTTCGCAGCTTGCCAACGAAATTTTCTAGTTCGGGAGGGTTTAGGGTTTGGGAGCTGTGCCATGCAATGCAGGCCGTGGATGCGCGCACGCTGCCCTTTGCCTATTTAAGAAGTGGCCTATCCTACGCGGAAGATTTGCAGATGTTACAGAAAGCAAAGCCCACGGATAGATTGGGATCCTCCTCATATGGGATCCCCAAATCTGGACCCCCGTTTTCATGAAACTCGAATTTTCTGGAACTCTTATACCTCTATCTGATTAGCAGAAATTCCGTGTTCAGTTTTCAATTCGTTGTATGCGTTACTCCGGAGGGTTCCGGCCAAGTTTCAGAGAATTGGAGCCTTCGGCTGCAATCGATATCTCATGGTTGAGGGCCAGCAAGAGCCCGCCCATCAACAGCCGGGGTCCTGAAAGAATAAAGGGGTCTGAATAATTCCAATAGGGTTTCGGCGTAGACGGAACCCGATGGAATCCCGCTAGTAATTTTCCGAGCCCTCTATATCAGAGGTTTAGGATCTATGCTGGCAGAAGCTCCAAACGGCAGGCAAAAGAGCTACACGCAGACATGCCGCAGGCGAAACGATCTTCAAGCTCGCGGACACCAACCAAGATGGTTTCGTCTCATACCACGAGTTTGCCCGGGGCTGAGAATCCTGAAGGCAACAAAATCCAGAACGGTGCGAGTCCTGTAGGCTGCGGAGGAGTTGTCGCCAGTCGCTCCGGCCTGACCCTATATTTTGAAGACTCCGTCTACACTCACTACAGCGGAGCAAGGCAGAAACAACCAGTACCGATCTTCTTAGAAGCAGTCTATTCGAAACGTAATGCGCACTAGATCACTATATATATATATATTTATTTATTTATTTATATTTATACACATATGTACGTATATGTGCACGTATAATAAATATGAAATGTATATATATATATATATATATGTATGTATGTATGTATGTATGTATGTATGTATGTATGTATGTATGTGTGTGTGCGCATATGTGTGTATCTTTATGGCCCAGCTTCCTGCCTCAGCGCTGGCAAGTTGTGAGCTCCAAAGGCACGTGGTAAACAGTTCGGCTTCTCAAGGTCTCCAGGTTCTTAACACGGTAGGTTACGAACTACCCATAGGCCCCGAAGTAGTTCCTTTTGGGGGTTCATATATAGAATCCTATAAGGTAATCCCAAAAAGGAACTACTATGTGGCCTATGGGTACATACCATGTACTTCTGTAGCCTACTATTTGGGAAACTGGGGCTTGTCAATATCCCCTCCAGCTCGCCCGTTTTGACTGCAGTGTGTCGTGCTGGTTCCTTTTCTTGATGAGATTCGGGTCACCATGGTTGCCCGTGACTTACCCATATGCGCTCCAGCCAACAGCACTCATCCTTATAGTATCCCTTCTTGATCCTAAGCCTCAAGCCTTGCATGACTTCTCAGATTCATGGTCTTTAGGGTTTATATGTTTTTTTTCTTACAGCCTTATCCCTGCCGCCGCCGTGAGATCGGATCACAAGCCATCCAACCCTGAATTCAACGGGCAGTCCAAGACTAGTGGGACCAAGCCTGTTTGAAGACTTGTTGGGAACATGGCACTATTTTAGGGCTTAGGGTGTACAGTGCTGTCACAAAGCTGCACTAGCACGGAACCAGTCAGACACCAAACCCAGAGTCGACGCCCAGAACCTTCCGCCATAGGGCAAACAGCACGGCACCAAAAGCCGCATTCCTGTTTCATGGAGCACCTCAAAACAGAAAAACGAGGCTCCACACTCAAAAAGAAGAACAGCTTCCCCCACGTATAGAAACCCGAAGCCCTAAACCCTAACCTTTCCCTTTGTTTGCATGGCATTCCGGGTGCACTGGCTCTCCGGGGGCGTGGCGGCATCCTTTGGGCTAGAGGACGCCCAGGGCCTCAGAGACACGGGTACTGTAGGTAGGACCATAGGTTTAGGGTTTTGGGTTTAGGGTTATGCTGAAAAAAGGGTTAAAGGGAGCCCTTGCGCTACATGACATGGGTTCCACCCTATAAAGTTAAGCTTGTGCTAAGCCGCTGTTGATTGTTTCACGGTCATTACGATACTTATTCGTAGTCAGTATTGGTAGTAGTATCCGTAGTCTTAGTATCACAACTAGAATGTTTCTTTCGCACTGCTGTTTCTGTGAGGACTACTGTTATGATTGCCGTTTTGCAATACTAGAACAAGCCGCAAGACCCTGCTCTTCTCACTCAGGCCCCTATATGGGAGCTTCCGAAAACAAGGGATACCTTATTTTGGGATCCTTATAATAAGGATCCTACTATTTAGGGTACTATACTATGGTCCCCTATTTTCGGAAAGCCCCCATATAAGGCCCCTACACTAGCATCACCCTCCCTCGTCCGAAGAAACTCCTAAAACCCTAAACCCCTAA